CTGAAATTGCATAAACCACGGTCTGATAGGATTAGGACGGAAACTCGTCTATCGCGCCGAGTTATAGATCGCTGGAATTCTCTTCCAGATCACGTGGTTAGGGAACCTACGGTTAAGGGTTTTGCGCGCCAGCTCGATGCTCTTGGGTGGCAACAGCAAACCTTTCCTTTTTCCTAGCTGACACCTTCATTTTTCAGTTCTTTTTTATTGACTCAAATATCTTGGTATTCCACTTGCTTAGCTCTTACCACTTTTTCTTTTGCCTCCTGCGTTTACTTTTTTCTCTTTCTTACTTCACGTAACCGACCCAGCAGGGACTGCTAGGGCAGGATACGTGGGCATTAATTGGTTGGACAGGGTGTGATGCGGTCTTTGTTTTAAGTCCATCAGTATTTCAAAGTTCGCCAACTCCTGGTTCAACGACCCGCCGAAGAAGGAACACTCACGGGATCTATCCTATCGTTCCAGTCCCGCTTGAACTTGAACTTGAACTAGCACAATTACCCTTCGTTCTTCTTATCTTCGTTACGTTTATTGCAGATATTCATTGTAGGCTCCACACATCTTCGAGCTTATCTGGAGATACTAGGAGACATTCCTCGTTTCTCCATCCTGTAATCCAGATTGTCTGTATCACTTACCATCGCTGGCTTGTTGATGTGTTCTGTGACACTGTAGCAATCCACTTGTAACCAAATAGCCTAATGGACTGGCTACATCAGGGCACCGAAAGTTTCTCGCAGCGCCATGTTCTGTCCATCCTCATAAACCTAAGCACTTCTGCTTAGCAGCAACTAGTAATCGTAGGCTCCACGCATTTCTGGAGCTTGCTAAGAGCTGCTCTCTTCTATCTCGAACATACTTTGTGGCTGTCTGCGTCACATACATCCGCTTTTTGCTGATTTACTATGGGTAATTAAGGGCATACACTAGCAACTAAGAGGCTTCATGCAAATTCCATTGCTGATCACTGATACTCACACTTACAGCGACCCTAACTGTTCCTCGTCTTACCTCTGGCTCCCGTGTTTAGCAGCAGTCCTTCTTCATAAGCTACTATCATCTTTGTGCTTATCCTGAGCTGCCAAGGTCCACACTTTTTCCCTCCAAGCTTTAATCCCTGGGACTGCGTGCATCACATACACTTGCTGTCTGCTGTCCTAATTAGGTGTCCACTAGCAATTATAAGGCCACACCTAAATGCCATTGCTCATCCGCGACACCTAGTTGGCCGTAGTACAGCTCTCTCACGGGCTTCTCCCGACTCAGGCCTCCTTAATTATACTCCATTAACACCACCACATGATTTGATTAGCTGCACGTCGACGCGTCGTAGTCTATTATTCTCTAACTATCTAACAACCTCTTTGTATGCTTGCGCTTTACTTGTCCGCTGCCATTCTAACACGAAACCACTCTTAGTTTTCTTCTGTCGTGCAAACATATCCAGGTATTCAGCATAAGCCGCTCTTCTGCCACACATTTCTAGACCTTTATCTACCCACTACTTGCTGTATTGTCTTAGGCATTTTTTACCTGCAATACTCCAAGTCTCGGGCTAGCAGTCCATGCCTCAATCCAGCTAGGCACTATTACCCTAGCACTCTGGCTGCTGCGGTTAGGTCTCAGGTTCTGATGTCCACAGCAACCTTAATGTACGCATATATTCTGGCTATTCGCGGTCCTTCCGTCAATTAGCCCTTCTTAGCTTTTTAATTCGGCACTCTCTCTCACCTGGTCAGTACAT